CGGAAGGACAAGGCCTCACCCAGGAGCTATTGAATAAATTATTTTAAATAGAAGAGTGAGAGAGACTTCCCCAGGACCCGTCTAGCCCGAGGAGCACGTGTGTGCACAGAAAGGGCGCGTTTCGCTCTGCTCTGAGGCAAAGCCCACGACAATGCGGCGCGTCCGCACCGAGTGCTGGTGGAAGAGGCCCTTAGAACCAAACCAGCAGCAAAAGCTCTTTAACTGCTTTAGTTAAACCAAATTTCTAATACTTTAGAATATTAAATAAGGTGTTTATTACTCCTAGTGTTTAGAAGTATCTTACAACAGATACAGTCTGTTATTAGAATCCCTAATTGCCAAGACAGGAGGTCCAAGGCTGCCCCGTGACACTGACATGGCAAAGGGGAGCCGTTCCATTTCAGTCTCTGGTTGTAGCGAGGAGGGAGAAGGGCAGAAGGGTGAAGCCTGACCTGGAAAAGTGCTCTTAACTGGACAAGCTGTGGTTTATTCTTTGCTGGTATTTCATGGCAACACACTCTCGAGGTAGAAGTTACCAGACGCTGCTCTGAGCTGGTGCCAGAGCCCGAAGCTCTCTGCAAGAAGGCGAGTGTTGCGGCCACTATTGCTCCGTCAGCTCATCCTCATCCTCCCCTCTCTAAGGCAAATGGTTAACATCTTCAGGGTTGAATATAGTACACTTGGTTTTTTTCATTTCTTCATAGATTCTGGTGGATTACACAATTCCTCTCAGTCGCTGGGCCTGGAAGGAGCACTGAAGATCAGAGGCAGCAGAACCGAGGGGAAACCTGGCCAATGCCAGATCCTTGATCCCTGCTTTCTTCTTGATCCAAGGAGAAACTCAATTCAGTATCACAGTCTGCAGCATGCCTGGGACACTTTGGAATTTGTTCGTCTGTTGAGAGCATTGCAAATAAATGTGCCCGTGTCCATCAGCTTCTGCAGATCCACACCCTTCAAGGGGAAAAAAAAAAAAAATTAAAAAATTATGACATGCCTTGGTACCAGCTCTGTCACCTAACGCTGCCCAGTAACAACTGGCATCACTGGGAAAGACTAGAAGGGCCCAGGGAGACTTTATAGGGTATGTTAGCAAGGTCCTGCGTGCCCACTGATCATCAGTGCTCCGAGAGCAAGGGTCACATCACAGCATGCTGGAAAAGGGAGAGGAGGAAACGCTCCCAGCGTGTGGGGGTGAGACTGGTGTGCCAAGACAAGGGTCCCAGGCACAGCCTGTCTGACACGGCAGAGCCAGAGGCTCAGCTGCTGCAGGCACAGGCTGCTCGTGCTTACTGTGTGGATCCCCAGGCCGTTCAGCATGTACACCAAGTCCTCCGTAGCAACGTTTCCCGATGCCCCTTGGGCATAGGGGCATCCCCCGAGGCCAGCGACAGAAGCATCGACCACGCTCACCCCCATCTGCAAAGAAACCCACTATCAGCAAAGTCCTCTTAAAGGGCAAACTGCGGCGTCCCGCTCCTCAAATCTATGTGTCACAAGCAAGCATGAAAAAAAAAAACATCTGAAGGAAAGATGCTACACTTCAAAGCAAGAATCTTACCTGAAGAGCTACCAAGATGTTGGCAAGAGCTTGCCCGTAGGTGTCGTGGCAGTGAACAGCGAGAGCCCCCACCGGCACCTCTTTCATGACTGCTGTCAGCATCTCCTTCATGCTCCCTGGGGTCCCAACGCCGATGGTGTCACCAAGAGAAATCTCGTAGCATCCCATCGAGTACATCTTCTTTGAGACCTGTGCAAAAGCCAGGACGGTTACTGGAAAGGCAGCGCGGTCGTTCTCTTCCTCGCGCTGGAGAGCAGAGCTGCTGTAAGAGGAATCGGAGCACGCTTTTCTGCAGCCCAACAGCCACGGGGACAACAGACTCTTCTCCCAAAATTCCTCCACCCCTTTCAGCCTGGCTGTAACCTTCTTCAGTTAAATACTTTGACACATCCTCCAGCCCTCAGGACCCAATTCACATCCACAAAAGTGAGCCCCAAACCCCTCAGATATTCTGTTAATATTTATGATGAACTCACCTCTGCAACTTTAGCTGCAGAAATCTTCCCTTCATAGGGACACCCAAGGACACAGGAAACATACCTATGGTTAAGAAAAACAAAATAAATGGTACTTTTAGCTAGAGAATTGAAGTGAGATTACACTGGCCGAATCAGGCTGGACTTGTGCTGCACCTCACACGTTCTATAGCGTGGTGCTGTTTCCAAATTAATGCTTCTCAATGCCCTGAGCTCACATCTGCCTGCACCCCCCAACAAAAAAGGTAAAGTTTAACAGAAATCCCACCCAGAGTGCTACAGAGGCTGGATTCCAAAGAGATAAACTCGAGAGTCGCATCTCTCCACACAATCTGCTCGCTGAGACCTTCTTCCCCCCGCACAGGAATGCTGGCTGCTCTCGCTGCCGTCATCACTTCGTCAAATCTCTCCAAACTCTCCTCTATGGAACAGTTGATGTTCTTCTTTGTGAAGAGCTCAGATGCAGCTCCGAAGATCGACACTTCTTTGGCCCCTGCTGCCACCTGCCAAGAGAAAGCATCAATTAAAGGGAGGTGATTTCTCTTGCAAGGGAAATGACAAGCACAACCATGACTACAGCTCTCTCATCTTATAAAAAAGTATTTTTTCCCTAGTTCTTTTCCAAATAACCCTATTCTCTCCTCTGCTTATTTTACAGCAAAAATATGAGGACACCTACAAAGTTTGTCTTCAAAAGAAGCGTAAAGTTCCAGAGGCAGAAGTAAAGCTACATCTGCTGGATGTACTCAGGAGAGCTGTGGGACATGCAGATAAGACTGAAAGCATCACTGTCAACTAAATTTTTTTTTAATAATAGAAAACGTATCAAGGTATTTCCTATTATAGACAACAGGTTTCTATTTCCACAGCTAAATGATCCTTCGTAAAGAGACTACGAGACTGCTGCCTGCCAGAATGAAAGATGCATTTCCCACTCTTAATCGCAGCTGACACGTTCCCTCGCAGCCCACCCTGCACGCGAGGCAACAAGAACTTTCAGGAGCTGCCGTCTCTTACCGCTGCCTGAAATCCTTTCAGATTAGGGGTTAGCACAGGATAGCTGATTCCAGGCAATTTATTAATTCCCTGCATGACTTCAGTATGGTCAGCCATCTGCAGAAGGAAGGAAAGGTTTCTAAGGATGACAACAAGCACTTCTGCAAACCAGAAAGTCATTTTTAAAATTCTTTTTTATACAGGGAAGAGCAACATTTAGGAATAAGAGAAATGGGCTTCTAAAGAGCATCACGGTTTAGACACGCAGCCAGGCCAGCACCAACACGTGAACAGTTGTTTGCACTTGAGCTGCACGTTTGCTTTGTCGCAGGGTCCAAAGGGAAGGTCGGGGATATTGCAAGCTCTTGGGTTTGGCTTTGCTGCTTCTTGCCTGGTTACAAGCCGCGGCAACAAGCATTTTGGAGCGAGCAGAAACTTTTAATTGGATTACTATCTGCTGTGAGGCACTTTTATAACACGCAATTGTAAATCCCATTTGAATACCGACCTGAGGAACCCACTTGGGGGACACAAAGCTGGTGGCCTCTATAACCTGCAGCCCCGTCTCTGACAGCATATTGATCAAATTGATTTTCACCGGTGTCGGTACAACACTCTAAGAAGAAGAAAAGAAAAATGCCCTTAGGTTCTTATTTTCACGGCAAAATCCCTCACCTTTCGGCACCAAAACCAAACCCCAAACCCACCCTACCGGTGGGTACGCCCCGCCCGTACCTTCTCGTTCTGCA